GAATATCTAGGAAAAAATAATCTATTAATGTCTTACCAGTCTGGTTTTAGGTCACATCGTTCATGTGGGTCGGCAGTTCAACTCACAATTACAAAATGGAAAGAAAGTGTAGATCAGGGAGAATCTGTTGTGGTTGTTTTCTTGGATTTAAGGCGGGCTTTTGAGACCATAGATCGAAATTTACTTCTACAAAAATTACAGGTTCTAGGCATTCAGGGCATCGTAAACAAGTAACCAAAATTAAATATTAATGTTTTGTCAAAGCCCCTGGCTAGTAACTTTGGAGTCGCCCAGGGGAGTGTACTTGAATCACTTTTATTTCTTTGCTGCATTAACGATATAGGCTGCTTCATTCATTGTGATTTCTTAAATCTTTTTTCTGATGACACTGTATTATCTATTTCCAGTAAAAACCTGGACGATGCACTAAATCGGATGAATAACTACCTTAATGAAACTTTGCAGTACTTTAGTACAAATAAAATGAAACTTAACTCAGAAAAATCAAAAGCTATGGTAATTGCAACTCTCTATAGACATAGTCATCAAATAAATATTAATTCAATGGGTTTATATATTAATAATGAAAAAATTGAATTTGTTAGAGAATTTAGGTAGGTACTTAGGTTTTATGATTGATGATACTTTGTTATATTCAATGCACATTTCCCGTATATTTATAGAAAGATATCGAAAAAACTTTACTTCTTCTCCAGAGTATCTCAAAAATTGTCCATGTCCTCAAAAATAACAGTATATAACAATATCATTTTGATGTTTGTAGTAGCATACTGTATTCATTTGATTTAAACAAAACAACAGCTCTCCAGAAATTGCAAAACAGAGGAAAGCAGGTACACTGAAATCCAGCTGATGTTAAACAGTTTACAATGGCTTTCGGTACAAAAACGATTGTTTCGCAATGCGATGATCTTTATTATTGAGATATTGAATAATCTCCTTCCATCTTATTTCGATGAATTTGTTGCATATAGGTATGATATACAATATACACAATCACTTAACTAGAAGTTGAACAAATCGTAGTTTCCATGTTTCAAGGTGCAACCATTCAAGCATGAACAAAATGCTTTTTTATAAGGGAATAGATTATTACAACAATTTACCTTCTCTTGTTAAAAACTTTAGTTCCCTATGTATTTAAAAAACGGCTTAGTGATTATATTGTGGCCCTTTGATGAATAATTCATATCGAAGCATATCATAGCAACTAAATGTGATTTGGAGAAGGCTGTTGTTAGATTTTAGGTTAGATTCTGATTTTCTAATTTTAAGCTATTTTTGTTAAATTTCTTTTTTCGATAATGTTTATATAAGGGTTTCCTATTGAAAATTGAATAAATTGATTGATTGATTGATTGATCACATTTGAAATTTTAATTCTGTAGTTGTTCAGTGCAGTCATGCTCAGATCTGAAAGTTTTGTCAAAATTCAGTATGATTAACTATTAACTTAGAATCTGTTTTTTTTTTTAAAGATAAAAGTCAAAATTACATTATGTTGGCAATACAATGTAAAATTGTCAATGCTTTCAAATTTTGTATGTAGAAAAGGTTTGTGTTGCCAACATAGTTACTAAATTTTTGACTTAGCGAATTGTCTAAAAAAAAAAAACAGACTTTAGATCAGAGTGTAGCTGAGCTGATAAAAAAATATAAGGATTAGGCACGTAGGAAATTAAAACTCAACTCAGAAGTAGTTGTTAGGCCACCCAGGATTAGGTACTTAGGTAGGCATTTAATAATAGCCAGGTGTAAAGTCCCTAGTGAATGGCTTGCTTATTTATTAGCTGTGGAAAAAGATATTACATTTCTTAAGCATTGGGTAGTGTGAATAAAAATTTAGTAAAAGCTTTATCTTGCATTTCCTAAGCAAATACTTACTTTGCAGTGAATAAAAATGAGTATTAGCTTTAACTAAAAATTCAATTAGTAAAAGCTACAGTTTTTAGCATTGTCTTCAAATGGTGTGAATAAAAGTAAGCAATTCCTAATTATATGAAGGAAAAGCTTACATTTTTGCAAGCCTGGTAAACGTTGGCTTAAACATTTTTGTGGTGTTTAAAAGTTTGGGAAAAATGGCCGCGTTTTTGAATATAAGGTCTGCGAAATTTTATCCCGAAAGAAAAGAAAGGCCAAAGTCGTGCCGAGGTCGCCGAGGAATACAGTCTCTCAAATCGAGGTTGGCTGAAGACTTTTCAGGAACCTCCTCCTCCAACAAATCACTATCAGAATTACAAAAAGAAAACTTCAGTCTTCTTTTTGTAATTTACAAAGCTCCACTGCAAGAAAATGGACTATTAGTATTTTTTCAACTTATAGAATTATCTGAATCACTATTCATTTTCACCTTGAAGCGCTGGCATTCGATACTGCTACTTGTTTAAAGGGGGTACGTTCACCAGCACTCAACTGTTGCCAACAGTTGAGTAGCTGAAGAAACAATGGGTACGGGGACAGTTGAGATACAGCGGATGTAAATCTCCTGAACGCATAGTTGAGAGTTATGACAAATGACAATTCAATAGGGACATAAAGCTTCCGTATTTTTTGGTCGGTATCCGTATCGGTATCGTACTGCGCATGTGCAGAAGCGATACGGAGGCCGAGATACCGTACGTACAACGTAACGTTACGGCTCTCTCGCGGTATCCGTATCGGTAACGTATCTTGACATTCCTGACGCCTGTGACAAATTTTAAATAAATATAACCTCACTTTTTTTCCGGGTTGATTTAATTTGTTTAGTTTATACTTTCTTGAGTTTCTTTGCGTGTTTAGTGCTTCTCTATCGCAAAAAGAATAACAATTTTAAGGTTTGATATAAAAACGCCGGAGTTTTGACACAAAAATTTCTAGGTATTGAGATGCGTTTACGTTTACCGGAACAGGGTTCGCTTTAACAGCCTTTTCGCTTGTCAACGTATCTAGTTGCGTTACGGATACCGATACCGATACCGGCAAATTATTTCAAGTAGCTTTATGTCCCTAATAAGTTGAGTTGGTAAGCGTAAACTTTTACCGCTTAGAGAAATCGGCAGCAGCTGACAAAAAGCGGTTTTTACTGAGCGAATGGTCCTGTTTACCAGCACTCAACATGTTGAGTGATTAGTCAGCGGCTTTGTTAAAAACTGATGAAAATCAGCTCTAGGCCAATCAAAACTGTTTTACCTTGTGTATTCCACTTGTTAGAACAAAGCCTCTCACAATCACTCAACATGTTGAGTGCTGGTGAACGCGACCATTGTTTTTCCCAACTACTGAACTGTTGGCAACAGTGTGCTGGTGATCGTACCCAATCGCGTTCAGCGGCGCTCAGTAAAAGCCGACTTTTTGTCCTGCCGATTTCTCTCAGCGGTAAAAATTAACGCTTACCAACTTAACCCTTCCACCTACAACCTGGGTACATTTTGGACCCACACTCCGAATTTTTGGCATATTTTGTGGATTTGACAGGTTAGCGAAGCGCCACTTATAACAGCTGTTTATTATTGCAGTATACACGTGTATGCAGATTGTAGGTGATGTTGTTTAAATTATTTAATTTTTATTTACAATAATTAAGGAATAAAGGGTACATTATGTACCCCGGTTGTAGTAAAGCAGAAAAACAGATTATTCTTGATTACAACTCTACAAAAGGGGGTGTTCATACTTTGGATCAACTTATAATACATATATAACAACATATAATAATGATAATAATAATTAAAAAAATATTAAATAACAAATAACAAATTCTAGGACAGTTCTGTGTGCTATGGAAGGGTTTGGAGCCTACATACCAAAGTTAGCACCCGAACTTTGTTTCTCAAAATTATGTTTTTATATATTTTTTTTTTATTGTTAAAGATGTTTCTCAAATGTGTATTTATTAATTATTTGATGATGGCATAACCTATTCCACTAAAACATACACTTTAATCGTGGGGACAGAATGTACCCAGGTTATCAAAAAACGTGCAAAAAAAAAAGCTTGTAGGTCGAAGGGTTAATCTATGCTTTAGACATGCGCAGAAGTGTCGGGCGTTCAGGAAATTTACATCCGCTGTGTCTCAACTATCCTCAACTGCTTTACCCTGCAAGTTAGCGGCTGAGTACTGGTAAACGTACCCAATTATTGACTTCTTTCAATGTTTTCACGCCGCCGGTCATAGCTTTGTTCCAACACATCAAGAAACCGTACAATGTACCGTCATGATTCTGCGCAAAGCCAAAAATTTGTGAGTAGAATCCGAAATTCCTATACAGAGTGGTTTTTAGACCGTTCATGGGGCGGTTTTTGACGTGTTGGAACCAAATCTCATAATTCCGGTTTATAAAAATATAAATATCGGCGTTATCAGTATAAAAACTCGTAAACACATTTTTTGAGAAGGCTGTAGAAATTTCACGCAATGTCCGTATTTTCAGTAAATGCTTCAAATATCTAGCTTTTGCTAGTAAGTAAAAGCAAAAGGTTATTCACTTCAATTTCAGCAAATGCTATTAGCAAAAGCTTAATCTACCTAGTAAAAGCTAAAGCTATCACTTAATACTAAAAGTGAAAGCTTAATTTTTATTCACGCTGCCCAATGTCTAGATCCAAGAGAACTTAATCTAACTTTAGAAAGATAGTACCTACTATGAGATTCCAAACAATAGCTGAATAAGTGCTAAACTTCTTTTACCTTATATATTTTTAACCTTCAAGGCATCGTCTTCGATCTTTTATAAGCGCGAATCAAAATTACTTTTGGCAACTTCTGATGGAAGGCTCAAAAAGAATTCCATTATGAAAGTACCGCTAACCCGTATCACCCATTATAAAATAAGAATGACCCGTTTATTATAATTTACTACAGATTTTTAACAATGTCTTTTTGTTCTAGTAGGTTACCCTGAGGATGGCAAAAGTTGAAACGTTAGCCTCAAACTTGATAATTGACTTAACACAGTCCAAAACAGCTATATAACTTTAATACTTCAATGTAATTTAGGTCTCCGGATAGTTCAAGTTGTTCATCGAGGGACCCGAGTCCAAGTGCCAGAGGTGGTCCGCCACCCACCTCAGAAAATCACCGGCCAGCAATCAGAAGGCAATCAACTACCGAAGAAATCCTTATTGCTAGAGGATTCCGAAGACAATCAACCACCGAAGAAATGATTCGGTGCAGAAATTTCAGAAGACAATCATCGCAAAGTGATGAGTGCCAGAGGTATAATTTTAGACCTTTGACTGATTTTTTCTATTTTTGACTACTCTGAGTAGTAGGTATTTAATTGTTTGTTTTCCTTTTGTGTAGGTACAAAGGTAGGAGAGATTCCTCAGCGCAAATCCTCGACGGAACGGTGACGTCGATGACAGTGGAAACAAGCAGTACGTTTTTCGATTCAAGTACACAAACAGGTGAGAGGTAACCCAGTACAATCCCATTATACTGTTCTGTCTTGTACCTACCTACCTTTGCACTTTTTTGTGTTCTTTTTTTGATACTTAAAAAAACCACCTTATAATTTATATTAACAGCTATTAAGATATCGGATTTCTAAAGGAAATGTATAATTGCTTCAGAGTAAATCTTCAATTTCCTTACTCTTTCAAATTTTCCGGCAGTGGTTAGTGTACGGATATTTTTTAATACTTGTATGATAACTTGCACCTTGGACGGAAGGTACTAGGTGTTCGTTTATAACTGGTAACTTTCTTATATCATTGAAAATAAAGGGCATGTTTAAGTTGGAAAATTTCTTGGTAAATTGCAACCTTAAGCGCTACAATGATATTTTTTCGTCGTCATAGGTATACAGGGTGCGCCAAAAAGGTATTTTTTTCAAATGGAATGCCCAGTATATATTTTTGTTATCCAAATAATATTTGATATGTTTGTGAAGCTAACTTTCTGAGAATTTCAAAAATGCAAAAATATACTGGGCTTTCCATTTGAAAAAATGACTTTTTTAGCACACCCTGTATACCTATCGCGACAAAAAAAATCTGGTTGTAGCGATTAAGATCGTTGCAATTTACCAAGAAATTTTCCAATTTAAATATGCCCTTTATTCTCAATAATAAGAAAGTTATTGAGTGTTCCAGTTATAAACAAACACCCTGTACAAACTGTTATTTTTTTGAAACCTCATAAAGCAATGTACAATGTTTCTATAACCATCCACCTGACTGTCAGAAATAGCTCGTGAATTATATCTGCAACTTTTGAAGAATTACTAACAGAAAATATTTTTCTTAGCAATATGGCGAACGTGCAGCTGAAAAACAAATTATTGATTACGTGGCAATTTGGTTATTACCAGAGAAGAGGTTTGAATTAGGCTATTTAGATTTCAGTATTTCATAGAAGTTGGGACAACTTTCTCAATGAAACTTTGTGTATAATATACTTAGCACAGCTATTTGTATATCCTTCACCATGTAAAGTGTAACCCAGATGTGATGACTGCATTCTGCATTTAGCACTCTCTTTTTTTTATTTAGGTATATTTATTCGGATTCTTGTTTTTTTTTTTTTGAATTAAAAACATTAAACGCCCATCCGCAAGGTTTTCATTTTAAATCCTGTCTTTACAAGCAGCGTTAGCTTCTATTTTGATCAGTTATTATAAGTAAGTTAAAATTTATCATAAAATTCATTGGAAAATTTCATCACCGCAATCACTCCATCTTGAAAATAATGTTTTGATGTTTTTATGGAAAGACGTTGTGTGTGTTAAACTTGGGATGACAGACAAATAGCCAGTAGGTACTTTTTTGACTCACTTTTATTCTTTAGGTGCAGGGAGCAGATATTAAACCGTTAAAACGTTAAATAAACTACTCAAATGTGTACATATTGTTTGCCCAGCGGATCTGAGTCTACGGAAGGAATTCGGACGTAAATGTGCCATGTTGCCACGTTTAATTATAAAAAAGCAAAAATACTAAGCATGAAGTATAGTTAATTTGAAAATCCGTTTTTTGATAACAAAATATTGATAACAATAATAAAACGCTAAATATTTTAACGTGGTTGTTAGACCTATCTTTATTTTAATCCTGATTTCTTCAGTTTGGTCTATTGTAAAAAATAAACATTTTCTAAAGATACCATCAGCTTTTGACAATTTGGCAAGCATCCGTCCTGGATGAAACTGATTGGTGGAGTTTTTGGCAGGATCGCCGTTGTCATGGGGAACCGTACGGTTGTCAAAGAGCTAACGTCACCTTACGTCTCGCTATTGGCCAGGGCTCACATCATTTTATCCTCCCATCTTGGAATATCGATTTATATTGACATATCCAGTGGCGGAGATTTGGTGATTGCTGATTTTCGTGTACGAGTTGCAATACCATAACACTTCAAAAAAGTTCCGCACGCAGCTGGGTATTTTATGAATGAAATCAGCCATTTTTTTTTACAACTGCATTCCCCTTACCGTTGCCCCGTAGACACAGACTCGCTGGGCAGACATTAGGTACCACAACTAACCTGACAACTTTGATGATGCAAACCAGCTCGAATCACAGAGACTCATTTAAAACGAGCTTTGCAGAATCGGTAGTTGAACAATAATTACATTTTTGGGAAATTTTCGCTTTTGTTTAAAATGTATGTGAAGATAGCTTAAAGATAGTTCAGAGTCTCCAACGTGCCATGAATAATCTCCACACCACAATTTTAGGAAACAATACCCAACTATTCTCTAGATTATTCAAGTACATAATCAGAGGCGTATTATTCATGAGCCTGGGATTGACTGGCTTCATTGTTTCGCTAGTTTTCCTATAAATAAAAGGCGAAAAATTTCAACTAACAAAATCTCTTGATTTGTATATCCTAATATCAGAACTTTCAATAAGAACTATGTTAAGTCTTCAATTAAAGGTTAGTATTATGGTTTTCAAAATTGAAATTCAGTATTTATTTTGTTGACTCAAAGTCTCTCTAGAAAACATTTTTGTTTGATCTGAAAATGAAAACAAGGTTTTTGTATTTGTACAAACAACTAAAGCTTGCGTACGTATTTACCTACATTCGTTTTTGATTAGAAAAATATCTGGGAATTGGAATCCAATTATTGGAGATTATCAATTCCAATACTTCTGATTGGTAAAATCCTTGAGTTTTTCGTTACGTGAAGGTTCGTATATGAATGGATTCGCTTCTATCTTCTGTGATAATTAAACTCCAAAGCTCTTTATCATTTCTGCAAGTATGGCATACAATAGTGTAACAATACGCACAAACTTACAAAGAACTTTTATTGAATAAAATAATTAGCTTTAAAACTATTGTATCTAACTCCTTTTGTTATTGAATTAACAAGAGGCCCATAATATGCTCGGTTTGCTCAGCGAATAATTATTATTAGGGGTGCGGTGATAGTTTAATAAGTACAGAATGGCAAGGGCGCCACTGAATTGGAAAAAATATAATAAATTAAATAACATAAAATATTGGGATGTGAAAATTCAGAAACACGCCTAGAAGATAATCAGCAAACGGTAATTGGTAATTCTGAAAAGGAAATAAATAGGGCACATAACTCAACTGAATCATGACACAGGTAAACCAATAAAACCAATAAGTGCCTAATTAAGGCACTAGCTAACGTCACACACAATCTCACATTCGACTTTCAATGGGGGGACAAACAAAGCGTTTGAAGGTCTATTTTTACACGCAGGCGCTAGCTATTACCTCAAAAATCACATAATGTCACTTTCGATAGGGAGACAAAAATGTCATTGCAAGGTTATGTGTGTGACGTCAGCTAGTGCCTAATGAAATCCTCAAGTTTATAAAATATAACCCAGATGAAAAATTGATCAATTTTTGGCGTTATAGGTACTTACCCAATAATCTCAAATTTAGAACATATTGTCCAACCTTGATCTTAGTTCAGATTAATGATTTTGATTAATAAAAGATAAATTTTTTTTTTTAATTGCGGTACCAAAACTGAAGTAAGGATAACTCTATAATAAATATGATAAATCAAGAGTAAATTATTCCACCATCACCTCGGTGTCAAGAATGAAAGATTTTAAATATTTCAAAGCAATTGTCAGTAAAAATTCAATCAATTCAATTACCAGAAATAAAATAGATTTCATAGAAAAAGGTAGTGCAAGTTATAAATAAAACTTTATACAAGCCTCAATTCCAACAAAAAGGTAGAGTACGGTAGTCGGTAGCCATCCATTTTTGGTCACTGGACGAGGGCAGTTGCAGATTCTAGCCTAGAACCTAGAAGTTTAGTTTTCTTGGTCAAAAGTGGAGGTACAGGCATCGACATGTGAGGGACTCAAGAGCTCTATGTCCAGAGATATGGCTTGTTGAGAATGGATCCCTTGAGAAGAACAGCTCCTTAAAAAAAAACAACTCCTCGGTAAAAAACAGCTCCCCGGTAGAACCCTAAGTAATAGAGACATTCCATGAACAACTAATACTTTAAAAATTAAATTAAAAAGGACTTACCACGAGGGGGTTCGAAATTCAAACTCAAATAAAATGGTAATCACAAGACTTTTCATTTCAATTTTTTCGGTAATTAACGGATTATTACCTTACGCAACTTTATTTCGTTTAGGTAATGCCTGAAGACCGATAAGGTACTTTTTCCACGAGAACGGTAATCGATATTATTCCACTTAGGAAGATGGCTGCCCCCCTAGGCCACAGTCGACCTTTTCAGGGCAACGGCAAGAAAATATATCTTCGCTTGACATTTTTCAAGGAAAACCTGTCAACCTGTCGACCCTCAGCTATGTGAAAAGCACTACGTTCGAAAACTATTGAAGAGGTTAAAGAGCAACGAAGTACTAGGTCAAGTAGATTAAGTTAGTACAAAAGAAAGCGCCTACACTCTTTTCGAAGTCACAGAGAAAATAATTAATTCAGCCGGCAATAGATGCCGCCATGAGGAATGAATAATTATATAAAATTATGAAATTTAAAAATTATTTAGATATAAAAAGCAAATAACATTATTGCAATGCTACATTTGAGAGTTATTGGAACTATCAAATATTGCCTCGCAGTATTAAGTTTCTACGTTATTTTATTAGTGCATCAGCACTATTTTCCCAAAAAAATAACATGTATTGGAAGACTGTAGTAGGTATTAGAGAATTACCTTATTTTGTATTCATAATTTTGACAGCTGATAGCTATGTTTATAAATTTCAACCTCAAAAAGTGTTCATTTTTGTTTGTGATTTTCTGCTGATATCCATTTTTTGATGTTGCCGACAGTAAAATGAAAAATCATTGTAAAAAACATATTCTCTAAGTACAATTACGTCATCGTCGAAAAGTGAAACGTCAAAGTCGCCAAAAATATCGAAATACGCGAAATTTACTGCTTGCACTAACCATACACAAATAAAGACCAGTAGTAACCTTATTA